AATACCATATCGAGTTTCAGAGAATCTGCGAATAATCACAGTAAGACAAAAGACATAAATAGTACGAAATATTTCAACAAATTGTAAATATAAAATTTTAAATAAACCAGAAATTACTAGTGATATATTACGTATACTATATAAGAAATAATATAATCATTTTGAGACACGCAGAATAACGTTCGAATAACTTTTCTTAAACTCAAGTATTACACGATCCCCTGGGGTACAGAGTATCATTCGTATAGAATTCATCATTAGGGGCATGAATTATTATTCACTCAGTACCACATCAACACAACCTACCGTTTAAAGTTGTTGGCCCAACTTCTTCGAAAAGGCTCTTCGACCAAATTTCTATTTACGCACTCGTTCCCAAGAGAACGCACACGCGTGTAGTACCGTAGGAGACTATTCATACAAGCACACGTCGGGACGGCTCCCGGCCAGTCGACGTTAGTGCGTCCGTCCGTAGGGACGTCGTGATATTGTAAACTCGCTGAAAAACTTCTAAAAGGAACTAGGGAAGTTGTACGTAGGCCGTTGTAATATGATTTGTACCAAGGAAAAGTACGGGCGTAAGGCAGTGTCCAAGGGCACTTCTACGTCGCATACACTTTGAATGCGCACAAAAGTGAGTACGCTCGTGAGAAGCTGACGGTCATCGACGAAGTTGTGCGTCGTGGAGAAGTTGTTCGCTTGTAAACGAAGTTCTCTCGAGCGTATATTATTAAACATCTCGCGAATGAACTCGCCAAACTCCCATGCAATTAAACAGCACCTGCAGCTAAAGTTCCACGGTGGGATTTACCCAGAGCGCATTCCGCTCGGTGCAAGTCACGTCTGAGAATTTCCAGTCGTCGCGAGTGCATTCATCCTAAAGTCCGAGGGTTCTTGACATTGCTAGATTCGAGTGCTAAAATTTTTGTGGAATCTCAGCAACAATCGTGAAGTTTTACACTTGACAAGACTAACGGGAAGAAAGTTCCAACGTATTGAAGCTGTTGTGTGATCTTGTTGAACTTTATTAGCTTTGCATTGGAGCAATACCTGCAATAATAAGACTGAACTGAAATCGGTAACTCAAGGGAAACTTACTGTGATTTCGTCAAAATGATTACTGTGCCAATATCGTCTTCTAGTCCCTACGTAACAATCACTTCGTACAGTGATGCCAGCGCTCTTAGCAAAAAGCCTTCGGTGAGTAGCACGTTTGCTCGTGCTTATTTCCTTCGATTGTTCTATCGACTCGACACATATGTCTCCATGTTGTGATTTTTGAACATCCAGATTTCATTAATAAGACACGATACAACTTCAATGGATATTTTGCCTAAGCAGATAGAATGTGGGACAAATCACTTTTTGCTCAGTCCTGCTTGTTTATTTTGATTGGATATCTGTGGCGACTATAGTTGGGTTTTAGAAAGTTCCGTGAAATCTAGTATATTTGTATATATATATATATTTAGCGAGTACTACAGTGTAATTATTAAGTCTATGCGTGTTATTTAACTACTGTGAATACCGATCAATTTACAAAATGTACGAGAATGATCAAACTCAATTTTTTCAAAGCGGAAGAATACTATTGTGTACCTCTGTCTACCCTTCAGTTTTCAAGCTTCATTGTTTTCGGGATCATGGCAACTGTTTTTGCCAATGGTCATGACCTCATTGAAATTCTCCTATAAATATACGATCATAGTCATTACTAGCCACAATATCATTAGTTTGTCATGCATCCTTGTGATATGTTTTGAAAATCGTTATTATTTTCTCGGAAATATAACATAACAAGATATATTTTTGGAGGGTCCAAATATCCGTATTGTTTTTTACAATTTAAAGGTCTGCTTCTCACAATTCTATACAACGGACAGTAGAAACGCATAAGATGATATGAAAATTAATTTTATAAATACGCTTCAACGATAAGTTACCAGAAATCTCCCATGCACATGATTATCGAAAAGTTTGGAGATTAATCATTCTTAAAAATAAGTTAGGGTATATCGATTTGGTGGGCGTCAACGAAAATTTCAACTGGCAGAATTTAATCGGTACAGCCAGCAGATGTGACTCTTGGCGTGGAAGCATCCTGTTAAAGTCAACCTCGGACTTTGGAGTCCGTTGAAATAGTTTCCTTTCGTACGTAAATAGGAGTTGACTATTATTTATCACGTACGACAGTTGTCGCGTTAGTGTCCGAAGCCAAAGGTATTGTGTTGTGAAAGTAACCGTGTCCTCTTTTACGATCTTTCACCCTTGTTTACACTGGATATCGAAACTTGGGACGAATCCCAGTAGGATGGAAAAAATATCAGGTTCGAAATATCGTGCGTTCAATGCCAGCCAGACCGTGGAAACACGCGAGCTTCCGCGACAGCAGATGATAACAAAAAACTCAGGTTCTAATTGGATATAGGAAGCCCTTCACAGGTACGATCCTTTTTTTTTTCTGTGTCAGCAGCTACGGGAGAGTCTTGGGACGCTATGAACTCCCAGGAGGGGTCATAGGAAAAAGTGGTAAAAGGTCTTATCGATATATCAATTGCTTTGGAATCTTATCGCAACAGTCGTGTCGAATGCATCAAGAACGTCTTTTGAGCAGAAAGCTACTAGAGTCACGAACTCAATGATATGCTTATCGTAACGTGAGATTCTGTATTGTTACCAAGAGGCTCTTGCCCACGTATGCTTCTACCAAGAGTAAAATTTGCGTTGTACTGTTTTTTTCTTTCTAATTTTTTTCCCCTGTCTGTCTCTGGCTTAAATACGAGGTCTTATCAATAAGTTCTATCACTTACACTTATTTTCTGCGTGCTTTACTATAAGGAAAAGTCTTAGTACTTTTTGTTCCGAAGCCCCTATATGATTCGTCAGGATGTGTATTTTTTAAATACATTCATCAGGCTTTAGTTAACGATTGTTTCTCCGATGGTATTTTGTAATGTAATTCTGCATGCTGACAAGTATTCTTTCGAGTGAGTGAGGTCGGTTCGTGAAAGATATTCTTGGCAGACGGTCGCACATTGGTCACGTTCTGGCCACGTTTCGTTACGAAAGCGAATTTATTTATTGATCGTTGGAGAACTTCGATCAGTCAGTAGGCCACTTTGTTCATCATGCGTACTAATTTCTCTTGATGTTGACAACAAGTTTATATCCTGATGCATACAATCTTCGGGGAAGTTTGGAGTTTTCAAATTATGTAATTCGCAGAGCAGAGTTACTTAATTATTGTTTTGTTACATAATGATTGTATATATATAGTCGTGAAAAATCAGAGGCATACGAGATACCTCAGAATTAAAAGTATTCAACGTCATCTACTAATTGATCACGTATCGTAAATTTGGATTTCAGTTTAGCTGTATTTTTTTTACTGCGTTTTATCCAGAGGAAGGTTGTGTATAAAGCGTCAAAATATGGATAGGACGCTATATAATTGTTTATACTTGATATTAAACACGTAGAAAATAATTTGATTTCTCTTATAGTCAGGTGGAAAGATTCCATGTTAATTTTAAAAAATGTTTGAAAAGGATTTCAATTTTCCAACTTTATTGTCTGCATATTTTCTTTGTGCGCATAAACATTATTTTCGAATGGGATAATGAAGTAATTCGTGCAATTTATTGTGTATATCATGTGTGCCATGCTAGATCAGATAGCACGTGGTCTGTTGAATTGCAATTACTAATTAATTAATTAATATTATTAGAGCATCTTGTACATAAATATGCGATTTTGTATGGATTTTTTCTTGGTACTTTTTAATTCTCGTATTAAAAATTTCAAGAGTTATGACCCACAAGGAAACATATGTATTTCGTAATTTTACGATGTTTAAAGTTTCTCAATTGTTGATAACGTTACCTATGTTACCAAATATTTTAACGTTTACATTTTATAAACAATTTGTGAATTATGAAAATGCTTTTGTTTGGCTTTTCAATCCTTTTCCAAGTAATCATTACGTTACGGTAGATTCTCTGACTTGAGTTAATTCTGATTAACGTATCTCGATGAATTGCAAAAGTTTATCTTAAAGTATTACTTCACCATATCTCCAAAATTCAATGCACATTATCTATTCTTGTTGTTCAATTCATAGTTTTACACTAAGGGTAGGGAATATGCTTTATTTCATGTAATTCGAGTTAAAAAAGTATTTTCAAGATCAATACCATATACTTTATTAGTATATCAGTATGATTAGGCGAATCGTTTACACTAGGTTATCTTCTTCGAATCTTACATCCATATCCCGTAGAATATTAATAAAAGCCATATGATTTACCTGCGTCAAAATATTTTTGTTTACGATAAATTTGTTTGACTGATTTCATTTTTTGAGACGACTTTGATCCGATAATGAATTTTGATGACAGTACCAAACTTTGTATAAGTTCATAACATAACCATCATTCGTTTTGCTAAACGTTCAGACAAAAATTGTGATCTATCGATTCACGGTGAATTCATGATGAACTTATTATGGATTTAGAATTGTTTTATAAGATGACGTGAGCCAGATGAATGTTCATCAGAAATAAAAATATTTTTACGCGGACAGAGCCCGTCGTGTCGTCCTATAAAATCTTTTATAGTAAACAATCGTTAACGCTCACAGAGTAATGTAAAATTCGTAATTACAAACAGAAACGCTACTCATATATTTCGAAACTTTCGAAGAAAATGTTTCATGTATTTATAATTTCACCGTTGTCACGTTTACGAATGAAATGAACGAAAGAAACACCTTTTTTCACTGTACAAACAAAATCATTTTTTTAAAGCGAATACGATATCATACTACGAGCGGTGAGGTATTTATGCTTGAGAAGTTTACATCACGTAGTATATTAGAAAAACACAATGATACGTGAGGGAAATCCTAAGCGTCATATATTTACAAAATTAGACGACTCTAGCTGATAAAATTAGTGACAAGATATCGGATCAAGTAATGACGGATTTGTTGGTTAGTACAGCTGTGCTTCTCGGGATTGTCAGTCAGAATAGAATTGAAGCGCCTGTTTGTCTAGGAAGATCTGACGCACGACCTAGAAAAACCGACTGTCCCATGTATACATATAGTAGTCAGATCCAATTATAAACTGTGCTTCTCTCAAAGAAAAAGAGAAAAACGTGGAAGGTTCATTATCTTCCGAAGGACCTCACGTCTCTTCTCTCATGTAATGGCTGCAAGTGTAAAACCAAAGTATGACTTCGGTGTCAAGCGTTGTACACTAGTACAACGCTAGTAGGAAGGACTAGCAGCTAATCAAGCCGTAAGAGGACGCCCGAGTGTAAGCACGCGAATACTAGATGGAGCGACAGCTGATAATTAGGTAAGACGGGGGATAATGCCGGTAGACGTGAACCGTGATAAATAAACATTGTCGAATTACGATTTAGCTCGATATTTAATTAGTAACTAATAATTAGTTTCTTTTAATTAGTAACTTAGCTTAATATTTAACTGAACATATTACAGAATTATTAGGTTATATTTGGGCGATCGTACATCTGGGAACACATGTTTTGTCAAAAGTTTAAATGAGGCCGCAAATAGCTGGATTATCCGTCATTTAGGTATGCAATTTTTCATAATTGATATATAAATAGAATTGATTTTTTTCGTTAGAGACGACGGAACTCCAATTGGATATGAAAATATATAATGGTAATTTTACAATAATTAGAGTAATTATTAATGCATCTAGGCTTTTTTACGTCATTGACCAATCACTGATACAGGTTAATCGTTATTGCCATGCCACGCGATGCCATGATAGTCACATTTTTCCACTATCGTTGTTTGTATATGTATACTGAGTTAAACAGCTGAAACGCGCCATCTGAAATTAGCAGGTCCATTTGATTCGCCACACGACCAAATCTTGTTTGTGTGGTGGATTTTAGATGATTAGCCGGGTATATTCAGACACAGTTATAAACTCGTTTGCACGGATACGATTGATTTTATCACTATGCCATTACTTTGAAGATATATATAAATATAAATTTTTGAAAGTATTACGTTAAACACAAATATAAACATTGTACAGATAAATATGCTTTAAAAAATATAAATTGTGTACCAATCGTCTTAGTAACTGAAAAAGATACAACCATTCATGATCACCGTTCATTTGTATTTACACTTTTGATATTTAAATACATAGGGACATTTCCCACGCGGCCATTTTTCATCGTTAACAGTGTTAACTGTAATCCACGTTGTATGTACATACATATACATATATGTATCAGATCACTAATCGCTCGATTGACAGTAGCGTTAGCAAAAATTTCGATAGCGCTGCGACGTATCTTACCGGGAAATACGAGAATTTAGCGTCCTATATGAACAGTATAAAAATATACTTGGTCCACGAGTTCACTGTTTTTTTTTACAGTTGGCAAACAACGGAGACTTCGGAAATCACACGTGGTATTCCATAACATTACCAAAGTATATGATAAAATTTTATAGTAAAATTATTTATAGTACAATATTTTATAGTAAAATTTGTTTTGGTAGAATCGAAGTTTACAGTTCATGCACTGACAAATAAATTTCAGTGACCTAAGTCTAATATTTAAATTCTATTGTAGTAAATATCACTTTTAGACAGTCGTTGACTATATGCGCATATATTATAATATACGTGATTATATGGTTAAAAAGTTTGTTAATCCTTTACTCTATACGATATATGATACGATAAAATGTAAATTTTGTATTTGCATTCTACTTACAAAAACAATACGGAGCTAAGCACGCATAAACTTTTAATAAACACGTTTGAAAAAAAAAACACATGATAAATGCAAACAGTTCAATAACCTTTGGTCATATAAAATTACTACCTATCAGGACTGCGTGTTCGATATTTTATATGGCGATTTCCAATTGTTCACAACTTTACCTAGAATTAGCATTTTTCTTTTTCTTTGAAGCTAAGTCACTAGCAGCAATATAAACAAAATATCTTCCTGCAAAGATACGTCAATCAGAATAAATGTCATTTCATACACGTTCGGTTAGAGGTTTATACGTAAAGTTATGTTATTGTTGAAGTGTGCTTAGCTGATCAATTAATTAAGAAATTCCATTGAAATGTAAATATTGCTTATATAATTTTCAATTGTATCTTGTTACTGTTATGCGCACGTTGTACATTATGTTATGCCATGTTATGGTAGGAAAACAAGGTTAACAGTTCATGCCTTTACGCCTTTATGTTGCAGTGAGCTAGTTGATATTTACGACCGGAAGGCTAATTAGGATTGATTATTCGGTATGAATATTGAATAACAATGTGATTGAACTATGATCCGTGATAACACTGCGATAGACCAATGCTGATTTCTATCAAGTGATTTTCTCCATTGTTTGGTATGCGATTCATATAAAGTGAAGTAGCGTCCGTCATCAAATTGTTCTGTGTTGCGATGTTAATGATTATCGTTTAAAATATTCCCATGATTTGCGACATGTTCGCATACGTCTGGCAACCTTCGTTAGAAATATAATTAATCTTTCTTTGAAGCTCCTTTCACAACTTATAACTTTTGGCTATTCAATACAATAGGATTCAACATGCTTGCCATAACGTATTAAATAATTTATATTAACGGTGATTAATAATGGCGGCAAATTAATGCGAACACATTATTTAGATTTTTAAAGGTTGGGTTAGATGGTGTTAAGTCAGGTTAATATTGATATTAATTCTGGAGTAGGAGCGCGTTGTCTCCGAGATTCTCCAGATCATTGCTTTTCAAATGGAAAATAAAATTGCGCTAACATTTTCGGGTCAACGTTATTTTGAAATTAGTTTCTGGTTGTAGTATACTGACTGGTGACGAATGAAATGTCTTTCGGCATCTAGTCGGAGTCATCCCCTTACTACTTTTATTATAATATAATCCCTTAGACTTGACATTTGACTCTTCGATCGAGTGTATATAAACCTAAAACGTAAAATGATGCATTATATTTTCTATTTGTATTACTCAAAAATATGCGAATTCATTTTCAAATGTATGTTTGCAGTTATAAAATTTATACCTTTCGCGCATGCAAATATATATAATAATATATGGAATATAATAATGAAGTACTATACTCTCCTCAATATTGTATGAAAAGATCATCGTAACACTCGGTGTTCGAATTGGGCATTTATGAAGAGTAGAATTGATAACAAAGTAAATGATCTTTTGAAGACACGTCGTGTTTCGATTTATAACTCAATTGAATGATCGAAGAAATGCAAAACAATACATTGAAGTTAGTCTAAATTGTGTAAATAAAATAACATTACGATCCCAAAAGATGTTTCAATTGTAGTGTATTTCGAAATACTTGAAAAATTCGCTATAGAAAATCGATTAATTTGTTATTATACTACAATAGTTTTAGGACGATTCTGATGGCTTCTATTTTTGCAGGTGCAAGAGCTTTTTAACGCCATGAAGGAACAATCTTTGTCGTCCAGGATAGAGAAGGACAAAGACCTTCCTCAGAGGTCACAGAGCAGCGCAGCAACCTTAACTACCATCGGTGCTGATATATCACCTAGTTCTTCTCACTTTTTCGAGGTAATTTTTATTATTTCATTATTCCTACTAATATAATTTGGCATTTTTATATTATTCGTCTAAATCGTATAAATATTATTCTATTTATATTTACTTCACTCATATTAGATTATATATTTAGGTTTTGATTAGAATTCAATAATTCAGTAGCCACATTACAGCTATTAATTTCCTTTATTGTGTTTAATCTAGGTGCTTTACGTTGGAAAAATTAAGGTACCGTACAAGAAAGTACCTGAATCCTTTATCGATGACACTCTTATAAAGTTTCGAACCCACGAATTGGAGAAGACGAAATCTTCGGAATCCAATCTGGTTACTGAATGTCAACGACTGCAAAGACAAGCCAGCATGAAGTTTACGACGTTAAACATCCGAAGGGACAGCCAGGTAATTTCAATTGTTTGTTCTTATTTCTTAATTAATTTACATTCGTTTTTAAAGTCATTTTGTAACGAAGTACGTTTCATTATTTTAGTTTTATTTTGATATATTATTACGACTAATTTTAAGTTTCGCAGCAATTCATTCTTCATGTTTTAGGATTCGAGTGCCAGTGACTTGGGAAGCATAGAAAATATATCGGGCAGTGGTATATTATCGCCAACAAGTCCACTAGCTAATTCCACAACTTTGGGAGGCTCTGTGGAAACTTTACAACCGACCGCTATTAATCCTTCAGAGAATGTTGAACAAGAGAGTAATCAAGTGCCAAAGAGAACTAGTAATCCTAAAATTCCGTCACCTGAAATGATGCGAAATAGAGCAGCATCGACAGGCAACGTTTTAACTGCTAGAAGAGATTCCTCTGTAAAAGCAAGCGATGAGCATAATCGTACGATGCTCTTTCAGGTTTGTAAAAAGGCATACAATTATTTGTATTATATACATAAATTATTATAGGAAATGTTTTATTCCCAATAGTATATTCTTTCAGGTGGGCAGACACGATTTAAGATTGATCAGTCCAGACAGGAAGCAAGTTTTGCTACATAAACAATTACGGGATGTAGCGAGTTGCGTTCACGGTATTAAAAATCCTGAATACTTTGGTTTTATCTGCAGAGAAATTGGTGTTGAGTGTTACATTGGATATGTTTTCAAATGCCAATCTGAATCTGTTGCGGATGATCTAGTTGGTGGTAATTATTACACTGTAGTTCAATAATTTTCTTATTGTTAGAATTTGAATTTTAGCAGTGTCTCATTTTGATCTTTTTTACATGCAGCGATAACTCAAGCATTTGTTGCAACATGTAACAGTTCGAGAAAAGAGAGGCATCCAGTATTTTCATGTGACCATTGTCCTATGGTCTGGTACAACAAGTTGTGCCAAGAAATTGATGGTATGTCCTTACGTTATTGCAGAATAATATTATAACTTATTTTGGATTATGAATATTTATTCTTATATTTTTCAATAGCATATTTTCTACATTGTTACGTTCAATGTGTATAACAATATATGTATCGTTTCACTGAAAGCTTATTAGGTTTTCTTTATTATTGTTTTTTTACAAATGATGTTATATCTTATTTTTTAGGACAAAATGATAAAAAGACACAAAATATTATTTTTTCACGAATGGAAATGTTACCGGAAGACGAGCAGGAAATTGTTGTGACAAAATATAAAGGTGCTGAGGCAGCAGGTGGCTCAAGCACTGGAACGAATTTACGGGAGCAAAACCAATTTTTAATGATGTTGCTGCGTGCACATTGTGAATCTAAACAAGCTAGACACGTTCACGACACAGCTGAAAATCGGTGAGTATTTGAAAAAAGTAATTTGGTACACCAGTATGTATTATACAAATTCATTCAGCAGTCATTTTAGCACCCATTGCAAAATTCGTTGTATTTCTTCAGGAGTGAATTTCTCAACCAGTATTTAAGCGTTGGCGTAGGGAGCACAATATTTATGAAAGCGAAACGTTCTCTAACGAATAGTTTCGATCATTTAATGAAAAGGAAAGGATCACGTGATGATTTTGGATTAGGATCTCAATTAAACTCCTCAATTGTCAAAGACGGTAGCCAAAGTCCCGTGGGGTCTGGTCCCTCTTCAATAGTAGACACTACACCTGAATCTGGTAGGCCACGATCATTGAGGGTTTCTCCGGAGCAACAATTAAATGTAAATACAGGACCAAAGAGCCCCATGATGGACATGTAAGTTACGGCATAATTAAATGTAAAATAAAGTAGTATTTCTATCAATTTCAACTGTTGCAGAATGAGATAATTAACATATATTTTCTTTATCGATATTGATAGATTCCTCAAAGTAGGTAACTCACCGAAAGTTTCACCTACTGAATCTGAAAAAAATAATAGACTGCAATCTAGTGGTTCCTGGAGACAAGCGATTTTAAATCGCGTCGTAACGCCTGGTAAAGATCAGGAAATTAAAGGGAATGATAGTCCTGGCGGTAATAGTATCAATAAAAATAATGAAATGGTTTCGACACGAAGAACGAAGGAAGAGTTAAGGGAATTATGGAAAAAGGCAATTAATCAACAGTTGATACTTATCAGGATGGAAAAGGAGAACGCCAGGCTGAGAGGTAATTGAAAATCATTTTAATTGTATTAAATTAATACTAATATGTTTTGCCATCAATTTCTTACGGGTTCAATTGAGCAATAATTTTGTATCGCAGAACGTCAAGAGGAAGCGACAGTAAAGAGGATAAAATTGGAATACGATGAATTAAGTAGTTGCGCACGAGAATTAGTGGAGGTATGGGATCTGCTGGTCAGTAAAGAATCAAGAATATCAACAAAGTGCGATAATCAAATGCTCTTGCAAGCCATTAAGCAAGGTAATGGTCTCTAGCGAATTAAGTATAATTTTGTTATTAAATAATGTAATTCTTTTATTATTAATATAGGTGTTCCAAGAGGAAAGCGGGGCGATGTTTGGCAATTCCTGGCTGAACAATTTTGCCTTAAGCAACCTCCGATAGATACACGCGACTTTCCGAACTATAATGTGCCCTACGATCTTCTTTTGAAGCAACTTACTTCCCAGCAACACGCGATTCTTATTGACCTGGGACGTACATTCCCCAACCATCCATACTTCAGCTCACCTTTGGGACCTGGCCAATTAGCACTCTTCAATCTACTCAAGGCGTACTCGCTCTTGGATCATGAAGTCGGCTACTGCCAGGGTCTCAGCTTTGTAGCTGGAGTTCTTCTTTTACATGTAATTACATTAATATATTTCTCTGGAGAATACCTCGTTTTAGTTTTGAAGACTAATGAAAATTATGAAACTTGTTTTTCATTAATTTTCTTTCCTTCTAGATGACAGAAGACCAAGCATTCTTTCTTTTACGTCATTTAATGTTCAGACGTGGTCTACGAAAATTATATTTGCCGGATATGGCGGCACTACAACTCCACTTATATCAACTATCCAGGTTGTTACATGATCGGTTGCCAGCTGTCTATAACCATTTTGATAAACATGAAGTTTCGCCGACTTTATACGCAGCACCGTGGCTGCTGACGTTATTTGCTAGTCAGTTTCCACTAGGATTTGTAACTAGGGTTTTTGGTATGTATTGTTTTGTATAAATATGTAAATATATCTTAACTAGAACTCTGGTATTGTCTAATAACAATTTTCTGAACCACTAGTAATAATACTTTGATTACCATTTTCTGATTGAATTATGACTAATTGAACATGAAGAGGCCTTAATAAGGCCTTAAACAGTTGAACTTAATTATTGACAAACTCAGTATCTCATTAATTTTTGTTTGTTTGTACAGATCTTCTTTTCCTTGAAAGTTCAGAAGTCATCTTTCGTGTGGCAATGGGCTTAATGGAAGAACATCAAGATCAACTGCTTTGTTGCGATAGTTTTGAAGAAATCATGGAATATCTGAAAGTAAGATTCGTTAGCAATGTAAATTAAGACATGATTTTGCGAAGAAAATATTTACATATTTTTTTTCTATATGAATCTTTTATAAATCAGTACAAAAATATATTTTATTTAGGTTCGAGTACCAGCAGTTGATAAGATGATTTTAGAACGAGTAATGAAGCGAGTCTTCTATCCAGACATGGAGATGGCAAAACAATTAAATGAATATAGAGTTGAGTACCAAGTATTGCAAGAGGAAATGCTTTCAGTGAAGCCTCAAATAGAAACATTAGAAAAACTCGAATTGGTAAATAAGCAGCTGACCCAGCAGAATGCCCATTTGAACGAACAGCTCGAGGTACGTCCATTGAAATTTACAGAAACCCATCTTCTGTAAAATTTAATATTTGTATATTCAAATTGTCATATGGAATCTCTTTGCCACAGATTGCTATGAGCAACTTGCACCGTCTGGAAACTACTCGTTCTCTACATCAATCGAACGTTCACAAGCTTGAATCACAAAACCGTAGCTTGGAAGTGACTGTAGCAACATTAGGTGCCTTTATTCAACAATTAGTTGAGACTCGTTCTGATATTGACATGCCTGGCGATGTACGTCGAATAATTGCCCAATTGGGAGTCGCCGAGAAACGTCGCAACACCAACGTCAGATCTTATCCCCTTAAAGTTATTGAAGACAATAACAACAAGTACGAGCCGATGAAGAGTAATTCGACGGGCAAGGACTCGCAGAAACTCTTAAAGAGTAACAGCTCCGTCGACACTCCGTATCCTTTGAAATCTGCGTTGAGCCAGCCAAATCTGGGTACTCGATTGGAAAAGGTTTCTTCGTTCTTTGCAAATTCGCACAATCATATACGGCAACAGCGGGCACAAATGGCTGCACTTAGAGGTGAAACGAAAGATGAGGAAGGAAACATCAATAATAATGATGAGAATGATCCAAAAACTGTTAATATTGATATTCAAATAACTGATACAATTAACACAGTACCAAATGGTATTATGCAGAATGATGGAAATTTGAAGATCGAACCGACTGGGTTAGAGAAGTCTATTTCATTGCCATTGTCTAATGCGAAAATCAAGTTAAAACCGTCAAAATCTGCGTATGAGCTAGGATACGTTAGGAAAGTTCCCACTACTAAATTGGAAGATACATCTGGCGACTCTTTGAGTAATTTGACAGGGACTATACATCCTTTAGATACTTGTAGCGATGTCAATTTCAAATACGGCGGTACCACTAAATTGAAATCCATAAAGCCAGTTAGAGTGCCAGGTCCAAATGGACAGGGTGATAATTTAAACAAAGAGATTGAAGGTCAAAATCCAGAAATTTTCACGAGATAACAATTGTTGCTTGTTACCATACAGGAGGAGAATTTAATATAAGACATTTTCCAGACAAAATGCATAAGCGAGATTAATGATTATTTTGGTTGATACATAGGTTTTAATACTACTTATTGTACTTGATTCGTTGATATTTGCAATCTCTTTTTCAGATGGCCTCAGTATATTAAACATTTAATTGAAGATTTCAGCCTTTTTTTTCTAAACTTTCTGTACACTTAAATACCCATCGACATATAGTACAAATGGTATCGCGTGTAACGTATATGTACTTATACATATAAGAAAATTTTGGTATATTATATAGTGTAAACGGTTGAAAATGAGTCAATACACGCAGTCTTTCAAAGCTCATTAGAGAGAGATCTTGACATATTCATCTCCTTCCTATGTAGGTTATTAACAATATTTTTGTAATTTTAGTATAATGACTTCATCGTATACACTGACTAAATACACATATTTATTAACTAAATCTATTGTGTTTGTTACCACCATTTATGAACATGCAATTCGTATTTTTTTAAATATTCATAAATGTATATGCACTCAAGTATGATCCAATAATTGACTTCATGTTTCAAGATAAACAAAATTATACAACCCTTAAAAAACAAGAAAGAAATGTCATTAATCTCGCTCATATGTATATGTATCAACTGTTACCAGTAGGGAAGTAATCATATCTTTGAATCTTTATGAAATTTGAAACAACAATTTAAGTGTCCACAATTTAGACATTGGACGGTTGCATAACTGCCAACTTTTGATAACCCATGGAATTAGTTCGTACGTAATATATGTTAAAATAGAAAAGAAACTTAACGATTATGTACTTAAAATTGATACAAATAGAAACAAATATCAAATATAGTATAATTAAATACTTAACAACAATTAAATCTTTGGGTTACTTATAAGAAATTTTTCGTTGGCTTGTAGTGAACAATTTGGATGATAAATGACTATGTTTGACAGAAACACCACTGAGAGTGTAAACACATTTGGTCGGTCAAATATCACAATTGGTGCAAGGTTTACGATCAAATGACCAAAACAAACGGTATTTGCTCCCTCAGTGGTACTTCTGCTAAACACAAGCCAATGTTATGTCATGGACACCCAAATGCATAATTCAATTGCCTCTTTTGTTATATTTATTTTGGATTATGACCAGACGAATGAAACATTTACTATTATAACGATGTATCTGAAGTACATAATGAATGACAGAATGTTATGTGACATCCAATAAATGAATTTGTGAGTAGACCTCCAATTAGTCTAATTATGGACGAGTCACGAGATTGTTGTCTATTCAAAACGAGAATTATAGCGTGTATACCGTTTCACTAGACGTAGCCTTGATTTCTCTATTTTACTAACAGTAAGGAAAATGTCGGATACCGTAACTTCTTAATGAATATTTATAAAGAAGCGGTAAAGTCGATGAAACAATTAATATATTTTGTAGTACATACTTAGATTTTTACTGTCCAGCCAATAGTAAATAACTGATAAATATTTACGTCTAAATACTTAGAATTACCAAGAAAGATTGAAATAAAAATAAAAGTGGTTAGAGTCGATCAAAGAAGAAAGCAAATATAATAACGTCCTATTAGATCCTTGTTAGAAACTCGTGATCTTCGTATTGCCTCTTTAGTGATTGTATATATAATGTGATTTACAGAGATAACTTGATTCGCGTTACACTTGATTTGACTATTACAATTATTTTGAAGAATGTTTGGAATCAGGGATTTCTCTATCTCGGACTTTGTTTCTTGATTTGTTGAGCAATTCTATGGATGGAGTATTATTGTTTTTCTCAAATATTTCAAGTTTTATCTGAATCCGTAAAAACTTTATGTGATCTTATGCGACGTATTTCCAACACTATGTTTTAACACACATGAAGAGTTCAGTGTTTTGAAATTATGCGATTAATTTTTATTTTCATATTGGTAAACACAGTCGACGTTATTAAACTGTATATATTGATTTCCCTATCCTACACTATTGACGCGTTTAACGTGATTGCAATTTTTGAGTTCACCTTAATCTTGTTTAAGTAAAATTTGAAATATCAAATATCTCACCTCGTGATAATACAGTAGTGAATAATTCTAGCGGTAGATAGTAGACACACAGTAAGACGTTGTTCGGAAGGAAGGATTTTCAGTTACTTCTCAAGTATATATTTTTCTATTTTACTTTATCTCAGCTTGAAATATCTTTATTTTTAATGTGATATAAAACCGAATGTACCTATTACTTAAACCCTGTCCCAAATGGATGGTAAAACTTTATCGTTTCAATTGCACGTAAATACAAGATGTCCTGTTCATATGTTGTTGCACTCTTTTGCTCCCATATAATTTGCACTTCTTACAAGTGTTTTTCATGATACAGCAATGAACTTTATTCCTTATGTAACATCTTCGTTTTTATATAATGTAAATGCAGAGAAGATATAAAATATACGAATATGAAAAACCATAATAATTTCTACTTGTATTGGCATTCTAAATCCTTGAATCCTTTCACTAGACAAAGTCATATGTGATTTGTAATTGAACATCAGAACTGTTCAATTATGCCTATATGCATCCTCGATACACATATTTTTGAAGGTATATTACTATAATGGCAAAAAAATATATAGACAATTTCTTTTCAATATATATATATTTCGTATTCAAAATATAATAATGAACATTACACATGATGCTAGCTCATACCGTGACAGTCAGCGTTGACTGGCTCACTTACAGTGATACTGTGTAATAAACTAGTTGAACGGCTAGCGTCTGGAAAAGGCAGATATGAGATCGAATAGAGATACAAAAGGCTATTGGGCGACCTTTGCGTTAGCTTGTAAAAAGAGAAGCAAGCGCAAAGAGTCGCACGACACAAAGGCTGTGTGTGTAGTAGTAGTAGTATTAATCGGGGGGTCGTTGTATTACGGTCGTCCAACTTGTTTCTCGCGTAGCTCAAAAATACAAACACACTGAGTTACTATTAAAAAATTGAATTTCCCATTATCGGTTAAAATTCATTACAAACATCCATTAACGCACACCGCAGTAAGTGAAGTAAATCATTCAGTGCTGTAATGAGATTTTTATCAGAGTGTCATATATCGGCCATTCACGCTTTAATCATTAAAATTAATGATAACCGAATGGATGTTGTATCTGCTTGTTACTAGACGTTAGCTTCAGCGTTTCTTAGGTCTTACGTGTACCGTAGTATCATACATAGTCATACTTTAATTACATATTTATGTCCAACCAAATAATGTAGGCAAGCAGAAGCCCACACAGAAGTTTTTTCCCCCATTTTCTTAAGCCCCAAAACCCCTAGGATAATGAATTAATATTCGTTATTATACAATGGCAAGAAAAACAACACACAAACTGCCTTACGTACTAATATTTATAATAATTACGTAATCATCACAGTGATAAACGAAAAAAAAATATATATATACTTCTTGTTCAGTTTAATTTTTAGAGTTCAATAAACAATTAATCACTTCTCGAAGAGCGTCTTTCAGTGGCACTATACACACAACTTGCTTTATACACATTTCTTTCTTGCACAATCCAGTTTCGTTACCTGCTCTTATTTACTAAACAGGTTATTTTTAGCTGTATTAAAATTATTTTGCGTTATGCCTGTTATCCGGTATTCCAAGATTTACAATGTGACGTAATTTTGAGGAGTAGAAATATATTAAGCACGGTACATATTTAGATTCTCTGGTAGTATCTATGTATTGTACAATATTAGTAGCTACAAATTCAGAGGACTCTGATACATTGTAAGCCATAAGGTGTTGGCCCCTTGAAGTGAAACCTGATGTCAGATGACGACCAAACAGGAACAATGATGTCAAATTAATGTGATTGCCAATAGCACGCATCATTTTTCCTTAATGATATTCATCTATATATCAATATTACACCACTTGCAAAATGGCAATGAATATTAATTTTGGGAGGATCGAGAATACAGATTTTTTAATGTAATTTCATCTTCTAATGACCTGATCTTGACTTTAACGCGAACTGACAAACACGTTGCAAAATCCGGAATACAGAGCAATGACAAAAGGATGTCTAATATGTACAGTAAAAAATTGTTCATAATTTATCGTTACTATGCTTTTCCTTTTCTTTTGGTTGTGCTGCTTTGTATTTATATACGAGAAATACCACAGAGCTACGGGAAACGCGTGAACAAATTCCTTTTGAGTTGCGCAATTAATTTATTAGTCGCCAGTATTAATGCGTTGTTGCGCCGTTCTCGAGATATGTTCAACATCTTCGGCACGTAAGAATAATTGTTGTATAGTTTTTGTTCTGTTTCTATGCGAGCAATGTGACTCGACAACCAAAAGTCCTTTCTTGTTAATTTGTACTCAATTTGGCATTGTTAATAATTATATCTGATAAAAACAATATTAATCTTTTATATTGGATTTCAGTTTGAGAATAAATGAATGAGGAGGCACTGATCAATGGATGTTTTCATCGGAGTTATTCAATGCCTATAGGATTATCGCATGAAATTATCGGCATGTCTAATTTTTTAAGGAATTCTTTCCACTTAGATCGTCATTATATATAAATTATTTTGCAGCGCACATGTAGCGTGATTTAATTGCGCGCATTTAATGGACATCGCGCATCTTATAAATCTTGCAGTATTATGTTCTGCGTTCTAAACGTGAAGAAGTTTAGGCCTCCATTTATTATCAACTACTTTTTTCGTCCTCTGAATAATTTTGAATACGCCAGTGACGAGTTAAGAGTTTCCCCATTTGTCGAAATTTCGAAAATATAGTGCATCTGAATATATTCGTAAGAGGAGACCCGTTTCGCGTTGAGATCCATTAACTCTATGGTAGAAACGTAAAGCAGCATACTTTATAAGTACAGTAGACTTTTGAAAATTATCTAAAAAGACCGTACAGGCCAATCTTATAACTCTGCCAATAAGCCACAGGCTCCTTGGCGAATTTAAAAATTCGAATCTCCAAGAATATCTTGAATTGAGAATTCAATTCGCAAGAACGCGTGCCTCGATTTTGCACGTTTAGCAGCCACAAACGCGATTAGGCAGCATATACAATTTACCTTTGAAAAACAGTCTTTATACAATATTTAAATTATTATATACAGATATGCAACTAGCTAAAGAATAAAAATTGGTTTTCTTTTTATCTGTCGTTATAGTTAATCGACTTATCCGTTAAACTTAACTAGCCTTAAAATTAGACTTTAGTTCAATTTTCACTCGTGATTAACCAGTTGAAATCTTCATTACTTATACCCTGATCATATTTACAGCGGCTTGGCGATTAAATACACACCGATTTCAATATCTAAATCTTTAGAACTGGTCGCGTTCAGAGACTGTTGCTGCGTGCTTTTACGGCGTGCATGGCTTTTGCTTTCCGTATATATGTCTCGCAAGGCACAATGATTGCGCCATTACAATTGCACAATTACTTTGCTAGCAAAGGATATCGTATGCTACTCGTGATACGTATTCACGAAAACTACAATTCATCGACAACAAGCCAACCAATTATAAAACTAACGAAAAATCGTCAACTTATAAAAGATATAAAAATATAAAATGCGTACCAGTATACTATATTGTTGAATGACACGCAGACTCGGAGCGTTGCCGTTCTAAGTGTAAATGCAGATAATAATCATAACGACGGGGAAGAACAGTAACAGAATAAGAAGTACAAACCATAGAAATTTGAGCTCAGTAAGATATAGCCAAGCAACAGCCTGTGACGCTATCTCTTTTCTAGTTAAGAACGGCACGCTATTGGACTTGAATTTGACGCTTGTCCGTTCACAGTATTTCGTTACACAATAACAATAATGATTTTGACTTGATTGACATCATATTTTCACCAAGATAGAGTATTATATTAGTATCAATAGAGGCGCTGATCTTTACTATAATATAAATACTGTTGACCACTCAGCCCAATAGTCGCACAATCTGGCTATCCACGTAGTCGCATAATATTTCCATGTAACTGTGTACGTGTACGAGTGTGTAATTGTGTATTTCGTATAATTAAGTGTAGGAAATAGTGCTTAAAATCGTCGCCACACATCATCTTGAAAGTAATGTACAAAGTAACGCAGCTCCTGCGGACAAGACCAGCGAGACCCTTGATAAGGATGACGAGGATGCTGCGCTCGATGCTGCCTTCGTTAAGTCCTCGCAGACTCCTAAATGACAAAAACCAATAGCTTCATGAACAATAGTGCTTCTGAGATGTACGAGGTGCATGCTCTGGAAGCATGTTAAAGATCGGCCGAGCAAGAAGCAAAATATATTTACCTTGACTAGTGAGTCCGTAAGTCCACTGATCGGTCGTATCTCTCTGGCAAGTAGAAGCTGGTTTCGACAGCCATAATTCTTGTTCACGTTGTTCTAGTCTACCACCTCTTCCCGACAATTTGTCTATGGCATCCGCCATGCGCATGGAGAAGCAAAACAATGAGCTAAAGCCTGTCGTGAGCTCGCTACTCCTTTGCGATACGACCGTGTACCAAGTCCCTTTCTCTTCCCAGCTGGCGTGACAGTAATAGGCTGAAAGTGCATTGATCGTTATTTGCTTTGCGTTACATTGATATACCAGATATTGCTAACATGTACTTTATACCAGTCTAGCAATATTTAGTAGTTTATCGTACGGTCATAATAAAGTAGAAAATATTTATAGTCAATTTACTTTATGTATTAGCTCTTACCTAATTCCTTACGCTTACAAGTATTGGCAATAATCATTTCATTTTGGGTCGTCGAACTGCAACCGATTTGAATATCCGTATTTTTACAATCTTCTTCTTCTTCGTTGTCTTCTTGCCACATCCTTCGCTCTGCAGCTCTTGAAGTTTTGGCACTACGCCGCTGTCGTCTTGATAATTTCGGCAATGTGTGCGTGGATACAAAATCGAGACTTGTGTATCGTCCTGGATAAGGACACTTTCTTTGATGAAGTATCGATGCTGTAAATTTTTCATTTAGTTTATAAATGAGGAATTTCATTTTCATATTAAAGTTTGTTTTAATCGGTAAAAGATCTATCGATTTCGACATTTTACCGAATGGATAGTGTACTCACTTATCAATGTTGTGTATGGCATATTTGATGGATTTAACAATGTACAAGCTTCTTCCGGCATAATCGCTTTTTGATCTGTAATAACAACATAATGATTTAACCATGAACGGGTCTTATTCGAAATATCGTTCAATTGAAGATACGATTCATGAGTAATCAAACGTGCACAGGCGAGGACATCAGACGCGAAAGGAGCTTGATGAATTCAAATTTTTTTTCCTCTTTTGATATGATAATAAAACTAGATTCGCCTCATCGAATTATGTCAGACACTGTAATTCAAAGAAGGCTGTTGAAAAATGAAAGTTGTGTACTGGCAAGCCTTTAAGACTTTTTAATATGAAAAGGAAGAATTGTTTCTTTTGAGACGTCATTGTCGAGGAATTGAGTCTTTTCAGTTTTGAATAAAGTTGGCGTAGCATTCTTCTCTCTTGAGGAAGAATAATAGAGAATAATAGTTGAAAATTTCCTCTCGCTTCTGACGTCCCTGCTTCGTGTACAAGTGAACATGCAAGTACTGAATAGCATTTTCATGGGTTTTTCCTAATTAGAAGAGTTTTCGCGCACTCGTTTTTGCAAATGGAAAAGGAAACTTAATTCAAGTTTTTACACTACATATACAGCTTACAATACGTAGGCATTATAAATGGACTTGGAGCGTTTGCAATTATGAATTGATATATCTTATTATGATTAAATGATTACAATAATTTTTTAATTAACTTCACATTTCTTTAATTGAAATGAGTTTCGAATTACTTACTAGACTGTTGTATTTCAATGACATGTCCATCTCTTCTGTGGAAAATCATGCAGACATAACCACTGTCGCTATAAATAAAAACAATGGCCTTGTTGTAAAATTGTCAATTATTCAAATAAGTTGGTCCTAATGTAATTTAGAAATGGAAAAAATTTGACTTACCATCCGCTAGTAATGTGAGCTACAAGCATCACCTTGGGTGCTTGGACATCATTGAGGTAAGATTTTTCCAAATTGTGACAAACAATTTTTTCCTCATTGTTGTCCTGAGAATTGATTTTAAGAGTAGCATTTCTACTAGTAAAATGATAAGTCCTGGTACCATCCAAAGAGTGCCAGTCGTGATGCTGAGTTACCCAGGATGGATATTTGCATCTGCTGTGCTCTTTATCGACTTGAGAAGAAATAAAAGAAAATAAAGCACATTAAATATAGTATCAGGGAGCAAGAGTCGGAGTTTAATAGTTTCCTGACTTTTTTTATTTATATTTCCTTTTTATTAAACGACTAGTACCTTTTGTGAGTTTGATGGTTCTGGAGCCTTCGGAAACCGAGGTTAGGCCATTACAAGTAGGATCTCCTGATTGTGCAAGTTCATAGACAACTTTTCCCTGATGGTGGGTCGTCTTCTCGTACAAGAAGCATCTATAAATTTATAAAACGGTTACGTCTAAGACTGTATAACAATAATCTGCAAGCGCTGTGAGCTTTTGCATGACCTTTTACGCAATCACTAACTATAAGAATTGACGATTACTATATTATGTATTTACGAAATATTCATAAAATTATTTAATACTGAATTTCACCACGAAGGGAGAAACTTGACTAATTAATAAATATTGCAAGTCGACAATTATCACATTTATCACGAACTTTACGCTCCCAGTAATCTGACTAATTGCAGTACCACCCCCTTTCTCTGCTTACTGCTTCTAATTCACTTTGTCATTGTCTTGCATCCGTGTTATCTAATTACTATTAATTTACTTCATCTCGTGAATTGATGGCAGCATGACAACAAGTAAGTTCAACCATCTCCGTATATATCTTTAATACCTATTTCCTGAAATTTATTCTTGTACCAAATAATTTGTATCTGTGCACTATATAAAATAATAATCGTTCACGCGTCAACATACCTGTAGGTTTCTTCGTTTCCCAGTACACTTCTGTCAAAAAGCTTTATAGTTCCCACAAAGTATTTATTTCGTCCGTCCTTCCACGTTGCCAGGCATTGTAGTTCTTCAGCTATACAAAAGAAGCAATGAATGTACATTGTAACGGTTCGGATCAGCTGAGTATCTTTAATTATAATTAATCGGCCAACAAGACGATTCAATGGCTTCCAATACCGAGACGATAAGTGAGTAGTTGACGGAAGACAGAAAAGTGAAAAAAGCAACATTTCAGGAAAAAATCCTGTCAGGCGTCAACGCGGCGTAAAAGAATGATAATTGAATTACTTTTATAATCTGTTTAGTGGCTTCGATCCGATCCGCCCATCTGCACGTTGTTTTATTAAGCTACAATCCACAGAAGCCCTTCGTTGCCCTCGGGCGCTTCCCTTTCAAGCCTACGGCTACTTTTCCTTTCGGTTAAACGAATAATTTCATCGAAGCTCTGCTCTTCTCGTTTCTTCCTTGCTCGCCCACGTACTTAAAATCACGACTTGGCACGATGATTTAACGTAACCGCGTAACTACGATTTGCATAAATCAGGAGATCGCTTCGTATAAATTTTATCTGCAGAACTTACTCCGCTACCTTTTTCATCTTTCCCTCGATCATTCGCTCTCCGAGTCTTTTCCATTGCGCTGTAGGGTAACGAGACAATCGTTTAAACTGAATGCCGATCGTCTAATATCGAGAGTTGAAAGCGAGTTATTAGATATTTTACTATCTGTACTATTCCGGAATGCCAACCGTGAACGTAGAGTTTACAGCTACGCAGTAACCGATAAAGCCGTGATACGTACGTTTACGACTAATCTCACGCTTTGAATACCATTTTTACGGGATTTTCGATCATAAAAACACAATTTTTGTGGATTTTATCCCATGAGGATCCTTTGCCAAAAATAATGAGATATTCAATTTTAACCAGAGTTCAGGTATTGCACTTCAGAAAGGTTTCTGGTTTAGATACTTCGTATCGTGATAATTAAAAAATTTGCATTTACTACGTTTACACGCCGGTTCATTTAGTTCCGATCTAAAGAAATCGATCGATTCCAAATATTCCTAAGAAGTATAAATCTCCGTGATTTGTCATTTACTTTGTATCTTGTACTTTGTACGCGTAAACGTGGTCATTGATAACGTTTAAACCCCAGTTTCACTCTGTCTCGTTTCACTCTATCCCTCGTCCATGCTATGCGACCGTCTATCACGTCACTCGTTTTAACCATTATATCTCAAATTTGAGAACCCCTATCGTCTATGGCCTCTATTAATTTGGGGTTTAATCCCCTTTAACCGTAAATGTTACTCGTATGATTTTATGAGCTTCCAGTTCTCTCCACAAAGCACTCATACGAACTCAGCTATAGGCACTTCATACGTTTTCCCTCGTCCAACGCCTCTTCCTCACAGTAGTTTCGTTCTATGAAATAGGCTTTACCCTTCTACACTCGTATCATACATTATCGTTCCTATATGTATTCCAGTCTTTTACCCAACAGTCCGCAGCAGCTGTAAACCTCAGTGAATTCAAACTTACTTGCATATCCTGCTTGATTATTTTACTTGTACATTTTTGTCCCGACCCAATGAATAGATATTACCAAAATTTCTAATTCAAGCATAATTTGACATTGAATAATATATTGCAACGATGCTTGTACAAACTAACATGACTGTACAGAGAATACAGATCGTAGTAGACGTGCATGACTCGAATAAATCGAGTGATCCCTGAAAGGTTGAGCGCCCCTTCTTCGCGATTCACATTAACGAAGTACACCCGGTATAGTAAATCCGGCATGGAGTCCTTTGACTTTATACCATGGCAATAAGAAGAGTTTATAAGCGTACACGCGGCGTCCATCTACTGGATCCTATATAATTCGTACGTAACAAACAGAAGGATATCTCCGTATAGCGTAGGTCGACTAACTTGATGGCCCCCCTAAAACCCTACGTAATGGAATAGAATTCTGCTTACGTCATCGTGTCAGTACTATTTTAGTGTCACTTTCATCTTGCGTCGGAACACATTCGCCAACAACCTTCAACTTTTAGTTCAATACGTAGTACGACAATCTTAAGATATATTTTTCTGTACTTCTACACGTGTCATATGTAATTGAAAATTACGAATTTCACGTATTTACCTAATTGAACTAGTCGCGCGGAGACTCGCATAGCAATTACGCTGCATATTGGTTTATCCTTTACATTTTGTATATTTAATAAAATTTTTCTCTTTGCACCTTATCTGTGCAGCATTTCTATTGCAGTTCCTTATGGCACGGAAAGAGCACCCTTTATATAAAGTAAAAGGTCATTACTGAACAATCGACAAAAATGTCAATACTTATTAATGTACTTACTGTTGCTTTCCGTTCCAGCGATGTCAGGACATGCCTGATACTTAAATAGAAGTCTGCTCTCGTCCGTACAACTTTCAGCTTGGCTGATGGGGGTGGAGCACTCGCCAGATCCTCGGTTATAAGAGAACGTAAAGGATGCTCCAGAGAATGGGCAGGGAATAGGCTTTGCGCCTAGTCGGAACATAGAGTAGAGTACATCGTCGGAACCGATGGCTGCGCACATTTTCTCAAGACTCAATAATTCCTGTACGCACCAGCCTGCTGAAAAATAAAAGATATGCAGATTCGTAAGTAAAGGCTGAAAGTTGGTGCTGATTTTGATAAGAAAAAAAAAAAAGTTTTAAAGATGCATGAAAAATAATAAAAATGAAAATGGGCGGGTATTGAACCATGAACAGAAATCCAAGAGTAAATGGCATGGGGGGGGGGAAAGAGAAATGGGGAAAGAAAGGAAAAGTACATATATATTATATATATATATATATATATGTTGGTATAAGAGTAAGAATTGATCGTCCCTTGGCCATGAAAGGAGTGGCGTGCGCGTAGCTCTTTGATAATTTATGCATTTCAGGATAATCTCTCTATGAAAGATAGGAGTTGGCTGCTCGAGATGCTCGAGGTGCTCGAGCTTCTCGAGCTCCTCGAGATAGAAGGGTTCCCACTCTGCTACCCTTTAAAGTAAGGGAGACGAGCAAGGGGAGCGAAGCACGTACCACGTAGGACAGGACCGAGAGCAGAGAGGCAGGACTCGAGATCGTTATAAGAGCAGCATGCCTCAACTAGGTTATGAGAAAGCTTAACGCTAATAAGAAATTAGTAAAACAAAGACACGACCCTAACAGCCGCCATTTCGTACCTTTTATCTTCTATGATCCAACCCCGGCGCCATTCTTTAGGACCGTTATATATAACACCCGACCTCGCTCATGGATTTTACTAGGGAATTATCCGGGAGTTTCGATCTTATGACTGCCTCCCCCCCTCTCCCCTCTTCCCCCCTCCCTTAATCCTCGAATAGTGATAAAAGCTGTATTTCATCCTATCGCCTAAGGTGACCCGGTAATAAAATTAATATATTAGAAAAGAATTGGAACGAACAGTATAACGGGTGTCGGAAAATTTTACCGCATGTACATGGATATCGTAGATATAATTATATACATGTGTATAGTTTCCAAATATATAATTATATATATACCCTGTATACGTAGGTCAGGGTAATATCGGATCGTGTGAAAATAATTTTTTTAAATTCCATAAATTTACCATCAATAGTAAAATAAAAATTGTATCCCCTTACTCGTGACAGGAATTCATTTGTTTGAGGTGATATGGAAAATAATTTGACTTGTTACAGCCAATAATCTTGCAAATAAAATTTTTAGATTTTGTCCTATTAACGTATATCGGAATATGGAACGCGAGATTTACTAGGCTCTTCATTCTGAAAGATATGAAATGTCTAGAGCAAGCGGAAATGTAAGCCTCAAGTAATTTTAAGGCCCCTCGATGATTTCTCACGCGATGCTGGAGCTCCAACCGGTACATTGCTTAATGCGTGAGCTTAACTATCAAAGCGAACGTCGTTGCGCGAAACATCGTGTCGTTAAGTCGCGTTAACGAACCGTGAGAAAATGCGAAGCACGCAAGATTCTGTCGCCGGTCGGTGCTGCGATGAGAACAAGATCCAGGGCTATGTGCCAAGAGACGACGGAAACTTACGCGATACTGGAAGAAGATAAAACAAAGGACAAGTCGTTTGGAGTATCTGTTGTTATACTAAGTCGAAATAGGGGAAATGCATGAACGCTATGCTTGATATTGGTAAAATTGGTAGGGCAATTGGTAAATGTCTATATACCTATTGCACAATCTGTCATTATGACCAAGACCTTATTCAATAAGCTCAAAATCTCAGGTAAACAATAACATAACCCAATCCTACATTATTTTCACTTCGAGCTGTCGCCATGGTTATTCCAAGAGGAACAGTGGCTCTATTCGCAGTCTTTTGAGATGCAAATGCTAATTGACATGTAAAAGTTAGTGACCTATATCGCCTGCCAGCTTAACCTTACTCGACTCGAAATACAAGTACGGTATATCTATATATACACTGTATTCACATGAAGAATAAAGCTTCAATTACTTTACTTCTCGCGTATTTTTTTTTTTTTTCATTTTCCGGTTGATTTGAAAATATGCGAGTTTTCTGACGAATCTAGCTAATGTTGAATACATTTTTACTGTTATTGAAAAACTAATGTTTCGCTAAATCTGGATTTATTTGAAGTAATTTTTTTTTATTATTATAAATCATACGTCAGATATACAAGAGTCCCTTTAGGAATAAATTTCATAAACTAAATCCTATTGAATATATTTTTAAGTTTCTTTAACTCGACAAAAAAAATTTTTGTTTCACGGTTATAAATACGATTTTGGTAACCGTACGGGTCTTAACATTGAGAACGATAGGAGCTCTTACTAAAAGGATTTCTGTATTCGTACAGGAAGATTATCCTGGAAGGTATAAATTATCAAGAGATTCCCTGTGTCTGGGCCTAAGCCCTTCACCGTCGACCATCTCTGTTCAACCAATCGGTGATTCCTAAATAAATTTAGGACCCCCCAGGGAATCAACTAATCATCCAGGATTAGGATGCGCTAATGAGAAGGCAAAGGCGATATCACGAAATTCGACACGGGTTTACCTACGGAATACAAGATTCAGGACGGGAAATCTGCATCGGCAACCGATTGGCTTGGACCGACCTGAGAAGCAGCCTAAATTACGAATTACATCATCCATTAAGATTTATTACATCGGGCTTTATTCCCCTTGTAATTTACACAGGGCCAATTGGCAATAATGTCTGAGATGGGAGTGGAAGGATAAAATTTTATTGTGTTCACTCCCCCCCCCCCCCCCCCCCCCCCCC